AAATGAATTGTGGTTATATCGTTGTGTTACGCGCACCAATATGTGCATGAATGATGTCATTAATATGGCATCCCCATATATCCATATCTTTGGTAATCCAGTTACCCCTGGTTATCCAGTTTTCCTTGGTTATCTAGTTATCCTTGGTTATCCAGTTATCCCAGGTTATCTAGTTACCCCTGGTTATCTAGTTATCCCTGGTTATCCAGTTATCCCTGGTTATCTAGTTACCCGTGGTTATCTAGTTATCCCTGGTTATCTAGTTATCCCTGGTAATCTAGTTATCCCTGGTAATCTAGTTATTCCTGGTTATCTAGTTATCCCTGGTTATCTAGTTATCCCTGGTTATCTAGTTATCCCTGGTTATCTAGTTATCCCTGGTTATCTAGTTATCCCTGGTTATCTAGTTATCCCTGGTTATCTAGTTATCCTTGGTTACCTAGTTATCCCTGGTTATCTAGTTATCCCTGGTTATCTAGTTATCTTGATAATCTAGTTATCTTTAGTAATCTAGTTATCTTGATAATCTAGTTATCCTTAGTAATCTAGTTATCTTGGTAATCTAGTTATCCTTAGTAATCTTGTTATCTTGGTAATCTAGTTATCCTTAGTAATCTAGTTATCTTGGTAACCTAGGTAATCTAGTTATCTTTAGTAATCTAGTTATCTTGGTATTCTAGTTATCCTTAGTAATCTAGTTATCTTGGTAATCTAGTTATCTTTAGTAATCTTGTTATCTTGGTAATCTAGTTATCTTTAGTAATCTAGCTATCTTGGTAATCTTGTTATCTTTAGTAATCTTGTTATCTTGGTAATCTAGTTATCTTTAGTAATCTAGTTATCTTGGTAATCTAGTTATCCTTAGTAATCTAGTTATCTTGGTAATCTAGTTATCTTTAGTAATCTAGTTATCTTGGTAATCTTGTTATCTTTAGTAATCTAGTTATTCTTGGTAATCTAGTTATCCTTAGTAATCTAGTTATATTCGATATGTAGTTATCCTTGGTAATCTAGTTATCCTTAGTAACATCTAGTTTTGCTTGGTAGTCTAGTTATCCTTGGTAATGTAATGATGATCACCACCATCACTTGTTGGAAATATCTGGAAATGCTCTTACAGGTTTATAAGTTTCAATAATTTCTGGGACCAGCAAAAGTTCGTCATCTTAATTAAACCAAGCCCGATCTTTGCATGGTACATGAACTTATTTTGTACTTAATGCCCGTCTATTGGAGTCTATAACAAATATGATACATTTTCGCAAGTTTGAGGTTGGATAATATTTATCAGATTTACTATCTGCTAGTAAAACCACGTGCGTGATCAAGCACGAATATTTAATTCGAGTCAATCATTTGCGTCAAATCCTGTGACACTGCTTAGTTTGATGTCCTCATAAGGGGTGGGTAAAACCAGATTTGAACGTGTAATTAATGCGAACAGAAGTTTGTATGTAGCTACAACTTCTCCGCACAGGCATTATCGTACATGATATAGAGATTTTTTACTATATCCAGGTATAGATACAAGTCTATATGCACATCATCCAGCTGCGCGCGTTCACCAGTTAGATGAATACCATACATAATACATTCAATACCTAAGAAGTACAAAACATCTTGGTGATATCAATTATGCCATCAAGCATCTGCGCAGGAAAGTGAGTGTAGCAAATGTAACAACATACAGAGATCTCTATCACTGAGACCAAGATGCATAACAATGTATTCAGTAGTAGGCTAATTTAATTTGATGTATATAGCAAAGGTTTGGGTAATGTTTCCTTTTCTTACGATTATCATTTTACGTCATATGCCTTACGTATAACATAACGTGCTACGCTTTTCCTAAAATTAACATTATCGACGCAACCGCGAATGTCCTACACAATTTGTGCAAAAATACGAACACTACGCATGCTGCAATTGATATCATCAGGAAGTCTTGAAATCAAGCGGAAACAAATTATCCTCAGGATCCCGAAATCCAACATCTTTCAAGAACATTTAACACTTTCTTGTGTTATATAATATGTGTATCTCTCTTATTACGTGGAATTAAACTGGGCAAACACTAATATAAAAATTTTAGATCGGTGCTAGGCAAAACGTTACGCAGAGAAATTGCAAATTATACCCTTACATTTCGCTGCATGAGCCAAAAATAGTTAAACATGGTACACATTTTTTCCCCTTCCCAACATTAATTATGTACAAGCTCGAGTTCCAAATTACATTTGGAAATTGAAAAGTGGGCAAGGATAATTACAGAAGTGAAATTTTCACTGAATATTTGGTAAAGTTGCACCAAACCTCTGCAAGTCTTAACTAATTTTCATTCAGTTGAATACTAAATTAACATACTCTTTTGACTTCTTCCTTTTAAGATGTGTATAAAGAAATATTTGTTGGACACTACACCTCCAATAGGGTTTACAAATTTTCTGCTGAAGCTCAAGAGGTTTTTGAATCATTCTCAGATGAAATTGTAGAACGCACGAAAAAACAGCTTAAAGAAGATGTTATCGTTACTGATAACATGTCAAAGGAAACTTTATAATGTGAATTCAAAGTAAAAAACGTAATTACAAAATTGAGTATTCACGTACGTAATTTTGAAATGTTTCTCAACAATTCTAGAGATTTTTATAGTATTAGGGGACCAGGGGTATTTTAGGTTTGGGGACTTGGGTAGGAGCTGCTCCTCCCCAAAGGGAGAGCAAAGGCCAGGGCGCACATACAAGCTTTTTTGGGGGGGGCGCCCTCTGTTTTGGGACCGACTTTCTTCTAACATTTGCGAATGGTCTATAGAGATGTAAAGCATTACAAAGCCTCATTACAAAGCCTCATTTCGGGAGTGGCCTTTAAGCCGCACTATTAAAACAAAAGCCATGTTACAAATCTAAAGAAAGTATATGTATTATGTCCAAATTTGTTTTTACATAATTGCAATGCATGTAGGCTATCCTTTGCCGGGTTAGATTACCTTTCCGCGCATGCGGTTGCGAACTTCGAACTTCACAAACAGGGGCGCACCCCCCCCCCATGTTTTGTGAAATGTATCTAAAAAGTCGGTCCCGAAACCAAAAAAGTCGGTCCGGCTAAAATCCGAAATACATTATCATTTTGTGTCGAAAAAAGGAAATAGGTGGACATTTTGGAAATGGAAATTGCCAAAAAATAACAAAAAAACATAAACAAACCAAGATATCAATCATATTATACTAGCAGCAAATAATAAACTTCCGTGTTGCAACAGTTCAGCCAACGTAATGCGATCAGATTACCTCAAGCCTCCGCGGTGCAGTTAAAACGTGCATTGTTAGTCTTATCTCACAAACTGAAACTTTGAAAGGCAGAAGTTCAGCTGCGTAGCCAAGAGCGGGGAAATTGTTGGGTGGGGGGATGATGTGCGAATAATGATACCCATGATAACTTGAATTTGCGCGCATAACAGGAGTCATTACTGACTTACACAAAAGGAAGATATTGTGCTATTTTGCTGTTGTATTTGCGTGTACAATACATTATGTTTTACATAAATATTTTTTCGATCTAACAACAATTAGGCGACTTAAAAATGCCTTTTTGTGGTTGTAGTTTTTCTTCTAACCTCGTCCTAAAATACGCGAAATAGCGTTCTATAAATGAATATAGAAATTCAAAAATTTTTTTGCGCCTTCGGCGCTCACATTCACAATCCATCACACTTTTGGACACCCAAAATTTACACCAGTGCAGAAGTTCAGAAAAACTGAACGTTTATTTAAACTCTTTAAATAGTTGCCTTTTCTTATCAAACAAAAATACTACAAAAGTTGGTCACAGAACATAGGACACCCCACCCAATTTTTTTTTGAATGTGTGCCCCTGTGAGATTCCTGAATAGCAAAAACGTTGTACCGCTTATAAAAATTGTTGATGAATGTAAATCATGTTGGTTTGCGAACTTATTTTCAAATTTTCTGATTTTACAGGCATTAAGCAGAAAAAAAGTACCAAAAATTAATAAGGAATTTTATTTGTTGTTTATCCTGATTATTTTTAAGAATATGAAAATATCCATTAATTTTTCGTTTTTATATGACCATTGAGACTAAAACTAATATATATTCATAAAAATTAAGTATATAGCATGTTTTCTTCAAATTTTATAAGAGAAATAAAAAAAACTGGTATTCTGTGGTACTGTGATATTCTGTGGTACATACACCTGTAAATCAAACCAGCCAATCAAATGCTCAGTTTACCAACCGATTTGAGAATTTCATTACGAACATTTGAACTTTGCAACAAATTTGCGAAGTTCTCAACGAAGTTCGCAACTGCGCACGGAAAAGTAATCTGAAATTGAGTCCAAGGCATCTTTTAATACCATGGACTGGTGTGGCATTTGCCCCACTGGGCCCCTTCCCCTGCCCCACCACTGAAGAAAAAAATGGCCTATTGCCCCAAAGCCAGGGCCCTAGGACCTGTATTGAGTAAATGAGTTTAACGTTGAAAAGAAGTTTAAAAAACAAAATTTGCTGGTGAGCATACTTAAACTTATGTTATGTTTGAATGTTTAGCATGCAATTTATTACAAATTTCAGCTTAAAACTTTGTTTTGAGCTCAGATTTTATTTAAATGTGTTCTCAGAATGCAGGAAATGCTATTTCAGAGACCCAGCTTCAACCCCCCTAGCTAACTCGTGCCTGCGGTACTCGGCTCACACCTTCGGTAATCGCATACTATGCTGGGGGGAGGGCAAGGAAAATGGTCCCTTTGGCAGTTTTTCCCCACCACTTAAGAATCCTTAAAAAATGCACTGAAATTGACTGTAACAATTTTCACCCATTTGTTTATCTTGTTTCAACATATTGCATGAAAACTGGAACGACAATATTATTAGTTAGGACTAATTTCATAATTTTTTGGGGGGGTATCACTCACACACACCCTTAATGTGCGCCCATGGCAAAGGCCCTTTGTTGATCGAAAAGTCGAATTCTGTTGTATCGTTTAGGTAGTGAGTGGAACTTTTACTGCATACTGATGTTATTACCCCCTACTTACACTGGCCACATATTGAAGTTTGTTAGAAAATGTGGTTAAGAATTGAAATAGACCAATATAAGCAATAGAAATGTATCTGTTTTGTTGTGGGTTTTCTGGGGTACTTCATGTACTTCTGTACACCCTCAAACATTTCCTAGTGGACAATGCAAGATCGAATGTATTCTATACCAGAAGAAGTATATTATGATACAGCATGTTCGGTGAAAAAACTTGTGAAGCTAGTATTTTGCAAACCAAAGTGTCAACATTAACAAGGTTATTACTAAATGTGACATCTATTCTGACAGGCCTTAAAATATATTTTATAGGGCTGTCCGACAAAATGCCCGATGACGTTGAGTTTGGGTGGGACATATGTCCGATGACCTTCAGTTCAGTTTGGCTCGGAAATACGTCTGAATGACACAAATGAATATCAGCACAATGTATTAATTCTGAACGGTAAATGTTGTGAAGATATTAAATAATTTGTGTCATTCATACTTATTTCCAAGTCAAAATTAACTTGCTTGCAAGAACTGTAGTAAGACTTCGACAACTTAAGCCTGTTTTCCACTTCATTAGCTACGTAAAACAACATTTCCAGTTCACTTTTTATACAATAGTCAATAGTCCTCTGATTTTCCATTTAACATACGAGCCTTACTGCTGATTGATTTACGTTGGACAAAGCTACAGTTTGGTCGGATACCAATACACTCGGGTTGGACAAACAGTAAACCTCAGTTTCACTTATGTCGGACAGGATGTCCGGTGGCTTCCTCACTACGTCGGACAATTTCACGAATGGGTCGGACAATGTCTGTGACCGACTGATATTTTAAGGCCTGCTGTCCTGTCTTTAATAATTGTTGTGCACATTTGTATCGTGAGCGAGAGATAATGTGTAACACCGATAAAAAAATGGAAAATTTACGCTTTAGAACTGTATTTTTGTATAATTATTACTTGTTGACAAACAAAGTGCATCGGTACCTTTATATTTAATATATGTAAATATTTTGAAATTTTATAAATAAATAAGTTAGAGAACCACGGTTGCTATGGCAACAATTTATAGTTGATTTCACGAAACTTTGGCCATAAATGTTCCAAACTTCGTTGCAAAGTTCACAAGTTCGTTTCGAAGTTCAAAATGAGATTCACAATTAAACCAGTTTGTAAACTATGCATTTAACTTCTTTTACTTCAGTGACCAATCAGGGACTTTGTTTACAAATTGGTTTGTGAATTCCAATATTAAGAACTTGTGAACTTCACAACGAAGTTCGGAACCTTCGTGGTCAAAGTTTCGTGAAAGCGACTGTAATGTGGTGGATATTTTTAAATTATTAAACTCGAAAATGAGATCAGTGACCCCAATTTCACAAATGATTTATCTTAGACTTAATATATTTAATTAGTTTGACGCGTTTTAACTATCCTATTGTCCCAAAAATATTTCATTAGAACAACTACATTTGGGTCAACATTTTTCAAAATTATCAAACAATGTGCCGATTTCTAATTGCAGATGCTTATTTTTTTCAATCTAGGCCAAAAATATCAAATGTTGATCAGTTCAAATAGAATGTGAGACGAAGGATCATGATGATTTAGAAGGATCAAATATTTTCTGCGCAATTGGACGTATCTTAGTAAAGGTTTTAAAAGGAAAAACACCACAACAGGTTAATTAAACTTACATGTTATATGTTTATATAACCTCATTTATTAATGGCCCACATTACCTCGTTTTCGTGCACAAAATCTTTTTCCCCATTTCCTAGCTGACTTGTGCTAATAAGAATAAGAATGTGTTCATAACTTTACTGAATATTTACAAGAACAATATGTCCTCAAATAACAAATTAAAGTTAACCGAGGCGGACAGTCACAAATATTAACGAACTGTACTTTATCTTTAATGAATAATGTAATTATGTACAGTATTACATTTTCATACTGCATATCGTCTCATTTCACATTCTTTCTAATGGCACATACTTTTTTAACACTACTTCCCAATTCCTTAAGTGACCTGCTGGTAAGAGGTAATGGTATGTCATGCGTCTTTATAAGTTTCATTATTTCATCATAGCACTTTTTACATCCATGTTACTTGCCTTGCCATTACTAGTACTGGTGGTCTCCAAGAACAGAACGATTACACAGACAACCACATACTCGAGCATGTTTAGTTTTCCCGGATTTACAACTTCATTTTTTGAAACTAAGTAACTTTTTGATTTTCTTGGCGTCTTTATCGTTTGTAAAGTATGAGGGTATCGCTTCCTTCCTTGTCTACCTTTGGTGCTTTTTGGAACTCCACCACACATTTTCCCTCCACACTTTCCGTGACAATTGCATAGATCAGAGCAAGCCTCTTCGGATTTTACACACTTACACCTTTTCACACTACGATATACTCTGTTAGATGCATTATCCGTTTTTCTTCTTGATTTGAGACCACAACGACACGCAACCACCTGTTTACATATTGTAGTATTTTCTGTAAAAAATGATCAGTGAAACGTTAAGAGAATGTCTGTATTAAACATAGAGTATTGGACTAAAATACACAAAAATGTAAAAATACAGGAAACTATAAGGACAAATACTACAAACTAAATAAAAAACATAAACAAGACACAAGTATAGGAATAAGGTAAGCCAAATAAAAGTAATAAATAATTAGTACTGTCAATGTCTGCTATAGGCAGGCAAAGACAGATAGAATTAAATTCTATTAACTATGATTAAACATAGGAAAAGCGTTCATTAATATCATTACTACGTTACGTATCCAGATGTATCAAGCTGCAATGACTAGGGCCGATCGGCGTTGAGCGCCGAAACACGCATGTCTGCAGATTGTACTAAGCTTATATAGTATAAAATATTGACGTATGTTAAAGCATTACATAACTCTTCTTATTATATAATGGAGAGTGAGATACTGAAAAATACACAGCGAGATATTTTCCATATCTTCACTAGTGAAGATATCGATCACGTGACTTTTAGTATTTATACAATTTTTTGCTTGGGACTATATAATAAACAAAACATTACACGGTTGCTTGAAGATATGACTTTTATCTTCTCGTGTTAAAAACAATATTGTTTTCACCACTCGAAGATAAAAGTCATAACTTCGCTCCGCCGTGTAATATCCTCTATCTCTTTATAACAACAAGCTGACTTATTTACCTTTGTTTCCAACAGACTGCTTTTGACCATTTGCTTTTGACATAGCTTGTGCGGTTTCAGATACTTGTTCAGAAATGACAAGTGCGTCGTAATGTCCAGGACCGTCTTGAATATACGACAAGTAAATTACTGTATCATGACTGAGATTCTTACAAGGAGCCAAAGACAGAAATGGCATATTATGGACAGTTGTCAAAATGAGGATTGGAATGTTTAAAACGTTGGTCATTGCCAGAGGTAATGCATTGCCCAATCGTCCAGTAAATTCGCCATTTCTTCTGTTTTTTTTCGGATTCCAAATATATATCGATGTCTTCGAAAAACGAACAATAGTCTTGCGGATTGTTTTGAAATTCATCGACTGTTAGCTGTCTCAGATATTCGGAAAGCTCATCTGCATTTGTTTGCTCATTAATTCCGTGTGCCTGAAGATTTTGGGAAATATTTTCAGGACATGATTTCGATGTTAAAATTTGGACTACCTGGAAGGCTACAGCTCAAAAAAAACAATTGCCATCGTCTGTCACTGGTAAAATACTAAATCCGAATGAACTAGCAATGTTACCAAGTCTTTCTTTGGCATTCCTAACAGACGTTTCCGTGGCCATAGGCATAGCTGTGGTAGATCTAGATTTGGCGTAGTTGTCAGTTGTGTTATGGGACAAATACGTTTTTAAGTTATTAAATAAAAATGGAATTTTCATTAAATTTGCTGCTTTAGATGACCATAGCTTTTTCATGAGCAAAATAACCTTAAAAATGGAGAGAGAATATAATACAATACTAAAATACCCATGGTTTGCTGTTGCTTTGTCAAACGAATACGTGTGGTCAGGCTGTAAATCTCCGCTCATTTGCGCCTCTTTCTCTGATGCCATGTCAACCTTTTTAGATATAGCGTCTAGTATTACAGGAGTCAACATATCCAACGTATATTGAGGCAAGGATTTTTGCTCTTCCGTTTCAGGAGGCAATGATACGCTATCTCTTTCTTTTGGTCTAATGCCGAAAAAGACATTTTCAGCAGTTGATGTAATAGGAGCGTTACCATCTGTTCCTTTGAACGAGTTCTGATGTGTCTTCGCAGATAAAGAGTAAATTGAATCACAATTTCCGCGTTTCTGATTATGTTTAAAGAAAAACCGTGTAAATTTGGCATAGGCGAGCTGTGTCCCCATACGATTTTTAGAAAGCAGTTTTTTCATCTCTTTATGAAGCCTCTCATTCACCGAAGTTGAAAACCGCGCAGGTATACCGCTAAGGCAACCCTTAAGAATGTGCCCACGAATGTTGGAAATGACACTCAAACGATCAGAGCTGAAAAGTTTCACACCATTGGATTCCCGATTTTCCCATTTTTTAAAAAAGTTTTGCAAATTCGAAATTAATATATCTTTGGAGGGTGTGGACATTTGCCGAGTGTCACCCAAGTCCTGAGGGCAACGAAAAATCTGATGTAACATCTTGTTGAACAGGATCTCTCTTTTTTAATGTTTTTACAAACCTTTGCACAGCATGGAACAGATCTTGTTTAATTGAGACATCCGGGAAAATGTCTGTTAGAAGAGAACTCATTTGCAGCAGTTATCAATACAGATAAGTTCCAAACAGTTATCTTTAGAGCGCTCTTTGATATCCAAAAACATATCTTTAACTTTATCGAAACCTTCAGATTTTGTGAACTGCCAGTTTATAATTTCACCTCGCTCATTGAGAATACAAAATATTGAGTTATATTGGTTAATCCAAGCTCCATCTTCAGCTCTTTTATAGCCAATATTACAAGCACTTTTAAAAGTGTGATCACATGAAATCATGTCGGCAGATAATCCATTCATAGCATTCACATATATTTGTTCATTTTGAAAGAAGCGTTTCAAAAAAATGTCAATCAAAATATCATTTCCAGGGCACGGAAAGTTCCCGACAGAAAATTCTGGGGAAAAAACTTTGTCCTCTTCACACATGATACCATTTTGCTTTGATTGTTCTAAAACCTGCCAGAAATTTCTAGCAAATTTATCATAGGTTGTTTTGTATTGCATTCTAATCAATATTTCAACTTGCTCAAAACTTAGCCCAGAATCAATAAGATTTTCAGCCAAAACCGCCAAGTCCACTGTGAAACCGTTTCTGTGGGTCAAGAAAAATGGTACGTCGCCCTCGTTGGTTTTTTTAATTAAGGTTTCTAAAATATCCGCGTGACAAGCTGAAACTTGATGACCACGAGCGCATTTATAAACACAACTGACTAGTAATGTGCAGGTATGAGTACCATAAACTACTCTGGGATTTAACCGATTTATCCTGCCATTAAACCATTCACCAGAACGAAAAAGGGGATTGGGCATACCGCAACCATCATCTGAGCATAGAGGGCAACGAAATGGATGTATTTTGTCAATACATTGATATTGAGTAATAGGATCCCATAATATGTATGGATAAGTAATGTATAAGTCCCACGTCGTGTCTTTCGCCATGTCGCCAAAGAAATGTCCATGATGAGTCACAGTAAATGGTCCAAGGTCAACTAGCATCCCTTCAGCCAATTTTTTTCTCAAATTGTCGAGTTGCTCTTTCTAGTATACTTTTCATCACATTGCTTAGTATGATTGCATGAGGTGTCTCTGCACAAAGTGGCATGACAGAACTGTAACAAAATTTTAATATTTTCAAACTTATTTCAATAATTTACTATTTTCAATAAATACCATAATGTTATGCGATGGGGTACCGAAATAATCACAATGGTACCCCATTTTGTACCCCAGCGGTTACCAAGCCCTTACGAAACTATATAGGCTCATAGCATTATGGGATTTAGTGAAAATAGTGAATAGATACTAATATATCTGTCTGTATGTGTGTATTACACTCCTGTTGTTCAGCACTCTCTGTAGAGCCTATGCAACTCTGCGCATGTCTGGATATGCATCTGTGCGTAATGCGACCTTGCCGATGTTTAATTTGTTTTTCAAGTGGGCAATAAAAAAATAAAAAAACGAAAGCTGTAAACATTAACACAGTTCAAGAAGGCTTTAAATAGATATTATGCCACAGTTTAAGCGAACTCCCACACGGCAATCTTGTAAACAAGTAGTCTATATTGTTATGTTTGTGTGTCTGTTTGTCCTTAAGGGAGTGGTCATTATTTATGGGGATGGGGGGTAAATGGGGAAAATAAGGATTAAAGCACGGCCCCCCTCAGACTGAAGGCAAACTTTTGTGCCCCCCCTCATAAAAGTAGAAACTATTCTGACCTCCCCCAGTGTAGACTGAAAAATTAATAGCAATGAAACAGGTGTGTGTTGCAGGTAAAGTTAGGTATTAGGAGAATCTGTTTAATCCAGCTCATGATATATTTACCCTGGTGAATATGATTCAACCATGTGTGCATGATTGCAAAATATATATTATGTGTTACTACTTTGCAATGCAACATAACCCTAACCCACTGGGGGTGGGCATCTACAAAAAGGGACCATACTATACTGAGTGTGGAGAGATGACAGATGGTTGTTGGTGACAAAAAGGTTGTGTGGTATCGTATGTGATAGTAGGGGGGTCTGGGGGTATTTTCCTCCAGAAAATTGTTTGTATTTTTCCACCCCTAGGCAGTAAACACGAAGCTCTAGGAAGATGTTCTGTGACTGGTTGATTATTACAATGACAAAAGACGTAATTGGCTTACATAAACAAAAGGAATATTGTTCTTGCATCCAGACCTGCCAAGTTCGGAAGATAAGAATGTGTGACCAGGGCCGTTGCGAGGACTTTGCCTTGGGGGGGGGGAGGTTAGATTTACCACCTGAATTGTTTCAATTCACCTGATTTTGCGACCCCGGGAGGCGCTATCATGGTTGGTGCCGAGCAAAAAAATTTGAAAATTTGAATTCTCTAGACCATCGAAAATAGCATTTTGAGAGTCTTTCCTATCCAAGATTTCAATGTTTTACTACTGCCTAATATAACTACTGATCAATATGACAGTGTTACAGTTTAATGTGACTAGGAAAATTAGAAAATTTTGGAAATTTGGAATCTCCAGATCGTCAGAAAGCGTATTTGGCCATGTATCCCCAGGCCAACGATGCGTCTGAACGTCTTTATTTGGTTGGTCTATTGGTTAACTCTAATTCTACATTTGCACAGAGCGTTGTCATTGAGTTACTGTACGAAAAGTGGGATAGCGTCATATAATGGTAAAAATGCGTAACTTTAAGATCATTTTAGTTATGCGTGCGGGACAGCGGGAACAAAAGCAGAATGCGTAACTTTCACGCGAAATGCGGGAACCTTGGCAGGTCTGTGCTTCATTCTTTAGAAAATTCATTCTATAGCTTAATTATTCTTTTGTCATTGTTATAATCAACCAATCCGGCAGAACATCTTCCTATAATATAGCTTCGTGTCAATCCCCCTAGGACTGAAATGTGAGCTGATTTTCTGAAACAGATTTTTGGATATACAGCATTACATTGTGCTTTTATAAACCAAATCTGATCAGTTAAGTGTCCTTGCATGGTATGTTTATATAAATACCACAACTGGGTCACTCCGGGGGTAGGAAGCTTGTTAAACTCAGTGGGCCCGACTCCCACGAGGCGCTACCATGGTTGGCACCGAGCAGGGAAATTTTGAAAATTCTGAGTCTCTAGATCGTCGGAAATGGCATTTTCAGAGTCTTCTTTTTGCTATTTGTGATTATAGAAATCAGAACTCTAGACATGGTATTTAAGTTCAAAAACGTTTTTGATCCCCCCCTTTTTTGCGTTAAAACATTTTTGACCCCTCCCTATTTATAAGGGTAAAACTTCGTTCCCCCCTCCCATTCACCAACCTCCCCCCCTCCCCATAAATAATGACCACTCCCTTAGGGAAGCCTCACATATCGATTTCATCCATGAGAAACGGCATATGTTCGTTTCTCTGGAGACCCCCCCCCCACAGAAACGTCACACATATTATCGATATTTTGCTCGATATATAGTATACATAAGGTAATTTTCTACTATTTTCTGCGGTCGGCTATTGGCGATGCTTCCGCGAGGAATATGTCATCTTCTGCTGACATACTCTTTTTTTATTAATATATATATGAACTTCAAAATTTCCAACGTTTCTCAAAACAACTTTTTTTGCATGAAATATTGATAATTTTAGCGCGTTTTTCTTGAAATTTGAGTGTTTTCAATGCAAGGAAGGCGTAATAATATAAATGTATACGTATAGAACAGGTATGGTATTACGAATATATAGACTGCTGTTTGTATCAAATTGTTTTCTTTTTTATATTCTGCAAAGATAAAAACTATCGAATTTTTCCATGATGTTTACAGAGAAACGTCACAGCTGCCAACCCCCCCACCCCCAAACGAACATATGACGTTTCCCGTGGAAAAAATCGATATGTGAGGCTTCCCTTAAACTGAAGATTTTACAGTGTATAAATAAATTTTTAAGAATAAGAATAATAAATAATCATTTTACAGAATTATTTTCATGCACTGCCGTAATGAGCCGTAATGACCCACTCTCCTAAAATTAAGTTACTTTAATATTCATTATGGAATGTAAAATACAGGGTGTATAAAAAACGCAACCTCGGAATTTCCCAAGAAATCGACAGATTTTAGATGTCTGGGAATTTAAAATAGCACAACTGTCAAAATTACTGCACACACGAGTGCATAAAGCAAAATTTATGCATTTATTTAATGACACTTACAGTGAAAATACAAAAAGTGTCCCACTTCCGCTTCTGTAGTTTGTTGTGATTTACTGTAATTTGTTCTGTTTTTCTGTACCGATTACCGATTTATCGGCAAATACTGCGATAAAATTTAAATTTCGTACCTTTTATGCAATGAAACTAACGAAAAATGTATTATTTCCCTTTGCTACAACTTATCATATTTAAATAGTAGAGAAAACTAAGTTTTATCGCGGTATTTGCCGATAAATCGGTAATCGCTACAGAAAAACAGAACAAATTACAGTAAATCACAACAAACTACAGAAGCGGAAGTGGGACACTTTTTGTATTTTCACTGTAATAAGTTTTTATTTTACAAGTACAGTACAATGATCTAGTACTAGTAGCAATTCGATTTCAATTCCCAGGGGCCTAAAATCTTTTATGCTTAAGAATTGCAAAGACGCTATTTATATGTTCATGTAATATATAAACAACTCACTCGAGCTCGTCTCTCACCGGGATATCCAAACACTCGAAAACAATGTATGAAAACACGAGCGCGAAAATGGCTTCTCAAATGAATCGAGATGTAACAGAATGTTTTCGTTTGCTGATTTGAATAGAATGCTTAACCAAGCATAAACGTAATTAGGAATTCTATTCAAATAATTTTGCATGCATAATTAAGATATTTGATGAAAACACTAGTGACTTTCATCAAGTTTCACCGGGTTATCCAAATGGCATCTTGTGATCAAATAGGTGATTATCATTGGCTGAATTGCTCATGAATTATTAATGAATTTGAGAATTATATATCTTGTTTACAATATAAATAAATAATATATTCATATATTAATATATAGTTATATATTCATTTATGTATCTTGTTTATAGACAGCTATGGCATTCCATACTAAACAGAGGATACATTCCCGATATAGTTCGAAACCAGTTTCGTCTTTATAAAAGGTCAATACCTACCTCACCATTAAAATCGCTGTTTTATTAATTAACATTTTATATCGTTCACTACCACACATATAGTTCAAACAAAAGGTAAACAAGCAAACTTTAATTAAATGAACTGAACTTCTCTTCGGTACGTACGCGTTTCCAAAACTAACCCGGAATTTCCTGGTAAGCAATCTTGGCAAACAACACCCATAACGATTAACGCCTATAACGCCAATAACGTCTATAAGGCCATAACGTCTATAACATTAACGCCTATAACGTCTATATAACGCCAATAACGCATAAAACGTCTATAACGTCTACAACGCCAATAACGTCTATAACGACATAACGTCTATAACGTCTATATAATGCCTATAACGTCTAAAACGCCAATAACGTCTATAACGCCATAACGTCTGTATCCCTAACCCTCTAACCCTTGCCTTAAAACCCTAACGTAACCCTACTCCAAGTTTGTTTCTAAATCAATCTTGAAGAAATTTTTTTTGACAAAATGTCATTCTGAGATCAGCGAAATAACTTCTTCCGTCCACAACCTGTGTCGCGCCACGAAGCCGCGCGTTTGAGTTGGAGCCTGGGGACGAGCTGGTCGTGTCTGGTTACGCCTTCCAGTATTCCACGCCCATATTGGCGGGATAATGTTTCAACGTGTTCGTATTGCAATCATAGTCCCTTTACTAAAACTGTCGCTTAACTCAATTCGATCCGCCAATATTAATTTCCGACGTATATGACGGGAAGATTAAATATTAAAGAACTTCGCCAGTATTTGCAGTAGACGTACGAAAATACCACCAAAAA